ATGCGACTGGTTTTGCGGTCGCAGATTTGACATGGGATTGCATTTTCCAGCCTTTGGTAATTTGAACATAACTTTGCGTAGGAATGTCCAAATGATGAACGGTTTGAAGCGTTGTAAACTAGACTCAAAGACCTTTCATTTGATAGGTAATTTGTCACATAAAACCTGATACATATTTAGATATGCTCGCTCAAAGTAGGGACTAGTGCAAGCTCATTTTGAATTTTAGCCTATTATGAACTTTTCCAATTTTTCTTAGACTTAGGCGTTTTCTTGGACCTCAAATTACTTACCGTAAGACTTATACACATATTTACCATATTCAAAATATGTACACCATGTTAATAGCACATAAAATATTATAATAAGCCTACGGGGCACCACCAAATCCTAGGTTACTTAGTGCAATTTTTTTCAGGGGCCTTACAGCAAGCTGAGGATAAATTAGTTCCAAAAGCGCATACTTTGTCGGGATTTTACAACTCTGGTGTCGTAACCAAAGGAGAAGCGATCCTTACCACATTTGCAGAAGGTGTTGTCAAAGATACCAAATTTCAGGTCGTAGATATGGAAATGGCTTACAACATGATTCTTGGGAGGCCATGGATCCATGACATGGATGTTGTACCATCAACTTTACATCAAGTTATTAAATTGTCATCACCATGGGGAATTTGTCAGATTAGAGGCGATCAACAAACATCCAGGAGTATCAACTCCGTTGCAGATTCAACTGTTCAAAGTGAAGTCAAATAGCAATTACAGAATTCAGCTGAGGGGGGTATAATGTCAACCTCAACTAAACGAGGAAAAACAGATGTGGATTCAAGGCCAGACACCATTCAAGAACCAGAGGAAAACGAGAACATTAAAACAACGATAGAAGAGTTAGAGGCTGTGGTTTTATTTATACACTGGCCCGAGAGGAAAGTGTATATAGGAGCCAATATCAGCCCGGAGGTAAAACGTTAGTTAATTGAATTTCTAAAAGCTAACGCAGATTGTTTTGCTTGGTCCCATTCTGACATGACAGGGATACCACCAGAGGTCATGACTCATAAATTGAACAAAGACCCATCATATCCCCCAGTCAAGCAAAAGAAACGAAAGCAAGGAACTTTCAAGAATCAGGTAATTCAAGAAGAAGTTCAAAAATTGCTCAAAATAGGTTCAATTCGTGAGGTAAAATATCCTAACTGGTTGGCTAACACTGTTGTGGTTCCTAAAAAAATGGTAAGTGGCGTGTTTGTGTAGATTACACAGATCTTAATAAAGCCTGTCCGAAAGATTCTTTTCCTTTACCGCACATATATCAACTAATTGATGCTACTGCAGGACATGAGCTATTAAGTTTCTTAAATGCATACTCAGGTTATAATCCAACCAAAATGGATCCAGGAGATGAGGAAAAAACTTCTTTCATAACAGACAGAGGGACTTATTGTTATAAGGTAATGCCCTTTGGTCTTAAAAATGTTGGTGCGACGTATCATAGGTTAGTTACTCAAATGTTTCAAGAGTATTTAGGTAAGACCATGGAGGTATATATAGATGACATTCTAGTTAAGACTCAGCATTCAGAGGATCATATATCGCATCTATCTGAAACATTTAAAATTTTGCGAAAATATAATATGAAATTGAACCCAGAAAAATGTGCATTTGGCGTGGCATCAGGAAAGTTTTTGGGTTTTCTTGGTTCTTACCGTGGTATTGAAGTAAATCCAGCTCAAATTAAAGCTATTGAAGAAATCCCTGATGTACTTACAAATAAGAAAGAAGTTCAAAGACTGACATGGAGGATCGCAGCTTTGGGAAGGTTCATTTCAAAGTCATCGGAAAAGTGTTTCAGATTTTTCTCAGCCCTTAAAAAGCAAGATCATTTTGAATGCAATGAGGAGTGTCAACAAGCACTTAGGAATTTGAAGTCATATTTGTCAAATCCGCCCCTGTTAGCAAAACCAAAGGCTGGGGAGAGGCTTTTCCTCTACCTTGCTGTTTCAGAAGTTGCGGTAAGTGCTGTTTTGATTCGAGAAGAACAAGGTAAACAATATCCTATCTATTATGTTAGTAAATCCTTGTTAGATTCAGAGACACGATATCCACAGTTAGAAAAACTAGCACTCGCTTTAATCATGGCATCTAGAAAATTGAGGCCATATTTTCAGTGTCATCCTATTGCTGTAGTAACTGCATATCCCTTACGCAATATACTGCATAAACATGAATTATCAGGGAGGTTAGCTAAATGGGCATAGAATTAAGTGAATATGAAATCACGTATCTACCTAGAACAACAATAAAATCCCAAGTATTGGCAGATTTCGTGGCTAATTTTAGCTAAGGGATGCAGTTAGAAGCCGAAAAAGAAGTTCAAGTACTTAATGGGGCTAATCCAGGAACATGGACCTTATTCACCGATGGCTCATCTAACATAAAAGGTGCAGGATTAGGAATTGTTTTAGTACCACCTACGGGTGAAACTATTAGGTAGGCTATTAAATGTCACTCCGTAACTAATAATGAAGCGGAGTATGAAGCTGTGATTGCAGGTCTAGAATTGGCACGAGAACTTGGTATAAGTCAAGTGGTGATCAAAAGTGATTCTCAGCTTGTGGTTAATCAAATGTTGGGGACTTACACAGCTAGGGAAGCAAGGATGCAACAATACTTGAAAAAGGTAGGGGAACTGATAAAGCAGTTCCAGACTTGGAAGGTCATCCAAATACCAAGGGATGATAATGTTGAAGCAGACGCCTTAGCCAATCTTGCATCCGCAGTTGATGTAACAAACGATGCCAACACCTTAGTTATACATCTAGTTCACTCAGTTCTCGAACCTGATAAGAACGAGGTAAATTTTAATAATCTAACTTGGGATTGGAGAAATGAAATCGTTGCTTTTTTACAGTATGGTACCGTGCCTGATTACAAGAAAAAAGCATATGCGCTTCGGAAAAAGGCTGCTCGTTACTGTTTAAAACAAGGCAACCTTTACTGAAAAATGTTTGGTGGCCCCTTAGCAAGATGCCTCAGACCTTCTCAAACGGAGTATGTAATGAGGGAAATACATGAGGGGCATTGCGGAAACCACGTAGGAGGAAGATCACTGGTAAGAACTTTGATCAGGGCAGGGTACTACTGGCCCAAAATGGAAAAGGAAGCGAAAAGTTTCGTGGCTAAGTGTGATAAATGCTAGAGATACGGTAATAATATGCACCGTCCTGCGGAATTATTACATTCGGTTATTGCACCATGGCCATTTATGAAAAGGGGGATGGACATAATAGGACCATTGCCTCAAGCTAAAGGACAGGTATGAGAAAAGGAAGTCAAGGACTTCATTTGGCATAATATCATCTGTCGGTTCGGTGTACCAAAAGAAATCGTATGTGACAATGGTCCTCAATTTATTGGAGCTCAAGTCACAGAGTTTTTTCAAAGTTGGCAAATAAAGAGGATAACGTCTAAACCTTATCACCCAGTAGGTAATGGACAAGCGTAATCAACAAACAAAGTCATCATAAATAATTTAAAGAAGCGATTAGAGGAATCAAAAGGTAATTGGCCTGAAGTGCTACCCGGAGTTTTGTGGGCATATCGCACAACAACAAACACGAGCACAGTTGAGACACCTTTCTCTTTGGTTTATGGGGCTGAGGTACTCTAATCCCAGTTGAAATAGGAGAACTAAGTACGAGATTCTCACAAGCAACACAAGATGATGAAGAGATGCAGGTCAATTTAGATCTACTGGAAGGCAGGAGAGAAGCTGCGTTAATAAGAATGGCCGCACAAAAACAAGTGATCGAACGTTATTACAACAGGAAAGCACGTCTGAGATACTTCAAAATTGGGGACTTCATGCTTAAAAAGTTTTTTCAATCAACAAAGGCAGCCAACGCGGGCAAAATAAGTCCAACTTGGGAAGGACCCTATAGAGTTCGTGATATTGCAGGGAAAGGAGCATATGAGTTGGAGACAATGGACGGGAAGATACTTCCTTCACACTGGAATGCTGTTCATTTGAAGAGATACTACTTCTAAGGGAAACACATGGTCAGGTATCATTATGTTAGATTTTATTTTTTGAATTATTAAAATTTTACTAACGATTTTAGATGATAGGCAAAACGCTTACCCGTACTAAATGATGAGTCACGACCTGTAAGGCAAAATGGAATAAACTGAAATTCTTGGCACAGGGTTACAATAATTCTGATAGAAACATATACGGGTTAAGCAGTCTTCATCTATAATCGCTCTCACCGAGTCCTGTATGTATTTCCTTTTCAGGAAAAGGACCAGGCGAAAGAAACTATCAAGTGCTCGATGGCTTTATACTTCAGCACTCAAACACTTGGGGGACTACATAGTATATACAATCACGTGTATATAAAAGGCAAAGAAGATTGAGAAAAAATCAAGCCTAAGAAGAGTCAAGTACGGAGTGGAAGTTAACGAGTTATGGCATTCATCATAGTATTCTTTCCCATGAGAACAATGGAGTCACCTCTCAAACCCTTCCTAATGTTTTGGAGCTAAGGGGAACCCATTGTATTTCATAAACAGTTAGGGTAAACACTATATACCAAAACGGGTTATAAGGAAAAACCCTGTATCTATTGTTCTTCTTTTTTAAATCTGTTACAAGAAAAACAGTTAGGAGAAAGTATTGATGTAATTCAAATACATGTAAAGGATGACTCAAAACTTTTCAAGGTTCAGAAATAAAAACTTGTTCAAGTTATTGCAGAGAAACATGTGTGTTCCTATTTCTTGTATCGTATAATAAACACCATTATGAAGTTGTGACGTCTTCTTCATCAAGTGTCAAAATATAAAAGGCCCCTCTTTTATAAAACTCATGTCATTTAGTCATGAGGATAATGAAAGCATTTTCAAAGAATAAAAATGCAGTCTATTCTTTAAGTCCTTGAAAATAAAAGGCACGAATAGAAGAGATGGAAGCTTAAAGACAAACTTCTTAGTGTTTTAAAACTAAAGACTAAGTATAAAACTTAGTCGTCGAATTGTTCATACAGAAAAAAGTGCCCCTTAACAAGACTTGGGGACTTGAACTTCTAAAATCAAACCTTGACTGATAACAAGGAGTTTGATTCCAAAAAAAATTTATCACAAGAAACCAAAAACTTTAAACATATTTTTCCAGATTGGTACCTGCAAAAAGGAATTTCAAACAATTATAAAAACTTTTTCATTAAGAAGAAGGAACTGAAGAAAGATCATCGGCGGGCTCAACTGGAACAATATCATCAACAACTAAAGGTTAATCTTCAATCACAGCAGTAGGAGCATCAACAGGCAAAGTCTCAGCTTGATTAGCAGCAAGAGGCACGGATGAACTTGAGGAAGGTGCAACGCTCGTGGCAATTTCAACAGTCACGGGGACTTCAACTGAGGGAGTCTCTACCAAAGGAACTTCAACTGCGGGAGTCTCCACCATAGGAGTTTCAACCAAAGGAGTCTCAACCAAAGGAGTTTCGGTCACAGAAGGTCCAGCCTCGGGAGATGAAAAATCCTATGGTTGTTGTGCTCGCTCAATAGCCTCATTCACCTTGGCTAATTCAGATTCAAGGTTGAAATTTTCTTGGCCCATTTCCACCAAGGTGTCACGATGAGACTTTAAAAAGGTCCAACTCACTTCAATATTGGTTAACTCTTTGAGAAGTTCATAATCTTTCTCCCATGTAGCAACTTCATTCTTAGCTAGGACAGAACTATAAGATGATTGAAGTGTGGTGTGAGAATTTTCCAGAGCATGAATCTTGTCTACAGAAGCTCGTAGTTCTTCTTGTGCCGGAGAAAGGTCTTGTGCTAGCTCCCCCGTATGTATCTCTTTCTGAGCCAGCAAAGTCTTTAGAGCCCTATTCTCCTCATTGACCTTGGACAGCTGTTCCGAAAAGGAAGATTCAAGGCGCTCTTTTTCCTTCTTAGTCTGGTCTGAAGTAGCCTTAATCGTTGCCAGTTCAGAGGCTAGTGCTTGAACTTGCTTCTCCAAGGTACTTTTTCTCTTCTCCAAGTTCTCCATATCGATTTTTGCACTTTCAAACTGGCCCTTCCAGTTGTTGGCTTCCAATTGAGAGCCACGGGCAACTTCTTCTGCGTCATGAGCAGTCGTTTCTAAGTCACGAGCCAGTTTTTCCAAGAGGGAGACTCGGGTCATTAGTTCAGTACCGATGAGATTGGCCTGCTCAAACAAGTAAAAAAGGAGGTAAGGTTAGGGATCCCGAAGTCAAAAGTCTTGAATAAAATAATACACCAGAAAATACCTTCAAACTTGCATGCATAATATCATTCAGGAGGGTCATATTACTATAGCTTTCAAGTTTAGCCTTCTCAATGGGGCCAATCAAAGGTTCGAGCCACGTATCAGCTTGCCCAGACTTTCTTAAAAGGATGATGTTGGCACGAACTTTAATGGTCACGCTCCTCATAGTAGAACCCCCACTTGAAGAGCCCACTTCTGTATGGTGAACAGTGGGGGGAGGAATTATAGGAGGAGCAGTGGAGGAAGTTACGGAAGTAATAGATGACGAAGGTAAGGAAACAATCACAGGAACGGTAGAGGTAAAGGAAGACAAAGGAAGTTCATTTAGAACTTATCCTAAAAGGCCACTACTGAAACCACTAATAAAAGGCTCATTTATGGATTCATGAGTGTCAGGAGGAGGAGAGACATCATCATCAGGAATGATCACTGGAGTAATAACAGGTTCAGAAAGAGGGAGGTTCGGGGAGACATCAGCCTCATCTTCAGATATGATACGTCTCCTGGCTCGTGGTCTTGATATCAGGGAACCCTCGTCCTCTCCTTCAGAATCATCTTCTTCAGCAGATTTTCTCTCTTCAGATCTCGAGGCTATATCTTGATCTACAGATCCCAAGAATATATCTTGATCACGAGACGCCAAGATATCCTCTGGAGTAACTCCTCGAATGGCAAAACCTGAGAAAAAGAAGGTTAAAAGTCAGAACAACGAATATTTAAATATAGATAAGGTAAAAACAAAAATCCTTACCATGAGTTTTTACTTGCCAACCATAACGATTGGAAAGGGTTTTCCATGATCTACCTTCCATCGGTGCAAGCTTCAGTAACTTTTCTACCCAACCACGGAAATTGGGTACAGATTCCACAATACCCATGGTTGCTGAAAAGAAAAAGAAGCGAGATTATGAAAAATAAGCGAGCCTAAGAATAAAAAGGCACGGGAAGAATTTAACACTTACGTGCAAAATTCCACTTCTCAGGGAAGCGATATTCTTTTCACCCACTAAACCTACAGTGGGAGCAGCAACAAATCGAGCGTACCAGCCACGGTCTTTATCATCCTCAGGACTCACTAAGACCCTTTTACTCCTGGCTGCTAAACCAAACACGCCGTTTCAAAAAAACCTAGGAGAATAAAGGTGAATTAGGTGGGGGAAAGTAAATTCAACATCTGCCCTGTTAGCAAGATGCTTCAAGCAGTCGACAACTCTCCACACAATTGGACAAATTTGACCCAAGCATACGTTAAAAAAATGACAAAAATCTAAAATGACCGGGTCAATGGACGGTTTGAACCCTAAAGTAAAGTGGTAGGTGTAAACAAAGGAGTAACCTACTAAGTAAGATGTGATCCTTTGATTTGAATTAGGTATAATAATGGGGAAATCTTCTCCCAATGACAGTCCTTACGAACTATAGGAGCTAAAGCACCTGTGATTTGAGTAGGAAAGGGATCAGCGCGATCTAAAGAAGCAACTTGAGCTTTTAGAGATTCTCTATCATGATAAAAGGAAAATTCAGAAGGGATTATTTCCTCTACCAAAGGCTCATGGAGTGGCTCAGAAGATTCTTTGTTACGAGAAGAACTCCTTTGAGAATGTGAACCTCTGGTCCCAGAAGAGGGACCAGAGCTAGAAGGAGGAGTTGACATACTACCACGAGCAGATCCTACGTTACGGAATCTACCTCCTCTTCTATGTCTAATCGGAGCATTAGGGAAGTTATCCAGAATTGGAGTTTTCTTAGGGTTAGAACTTGATGAAGCCATGGCAGAGAAGGTTGAAGTAAAACAGAAAATAATAAGGAGGATTCGAAAGGTTAGAGTGTTCGATACGCTTTATGTGAAGCAAGACAAGAAGTGAGGTTATATTTTTTCTAATGTGTAATTGGAAAAGGGAAAAAGTACGATGATAGAAGAACCATAATGATGATAACTGATACTTCGTGAAAAGTGAAGCTGAAAAGAAAGCCTAAAAAAGTGCTGCAAAATAGTGTAACCAATAAGAAAGGGACACGTGTCTAGTGCATTAAAAGGAAGTGACAGTTGAAGCGTCAACTTTGTCAGAGCATTAATGGTGACAAAAATTCTCCTTTAATGAATTACACTTCCCAAATATTCAAACTGATGTATAAATAGAAAGTGGGGGGACTATCTGTATTGGGAAAAATTGTATTCATAAATATATGGTAACATGTCATGACACGTGGAATGGTCAATGGGTTATGATTAGTCCAAGAATTACAAACAGGTGCGAACAGAAAGAGGTACGAGACGAGAGGCTCAGAAAGAGGTACGAGATGAGAGGCTTAGAAGCCCCATCCCTATTTAAGGTTAGCTACATACGAGCAATGAGAAGAATGAACCTGGCTAAAGAAAAAGATACAAATACAGCATTTCAAGAGTAGTAAATGCTGGAACCGTTAAGGAATATATACATTCAATGTAATGTTTATGTAACGTAACATTTAATGTCAATAAATGCTCATAATAGCCTCATTATGACTTAGGCATAACGTGCATCCTCAAAGATTCTCAAAGGGATCTATAAAAGGGGAAATATGTAATCAGTCGAGGGACAAGTGACTATTGAAATATACTCTGATTTACTAGCTTTCATACTTGGCTATTTCAAAATTTCTTTCTTTATTTACTTTTTCGATTATCAGTAACCCGATTCTTCTAATTTCTAGCTTTGACTAAAAATCTATTTTTTGGTTAAACAATCATGAAAATGATTTTTTTTTATCTAAGCAAACAAATCAGTTTGTTATTGCGCAGTGACAAAAGGGAAACAGTCTTTAACATTACATTATTATTATCCTATCAGTTGGTACACATACTAACTTACTGATTCATGGATAAAACAAACAAACAAAAAAGCCAAACATGTTCATTTCTATCTTTCAGCAGAAGATTAATAACTAAAGCCCAAAATCTTACTATTAAAAGGAGCATTGCAACAGAGAAATAAAAAATTTCACTATAACACTATTATTCAAATAATGCATTAAACTAATCAATAGGCAACCAACAACACCAAACAGATGCATCGAAGAGTAAACATGATTCGAGCTTAACATAGGCCATATCCCATTTCGCGTTGAAACTAAAATAAAAATCTTCAAGTGCTCAGGTGCATAATCATCACGAATTTCATAACACATCACCGTCCAAACAACCATTACATCATTTGAAACTAGAATCATACCTTGGCCGTAAATCCAAAAGACCAAATCAAGGCTTAATTCTAGCGGAGTCAACCAGACACCAAGAGATAAACCAAATAAAAGCGGAATCCAAATCAAACGAGGAGCTCAAATATCAATTTTCAGCAGCAGCAACAGAGATTCGGCAATGTCATGACATGGTTTAGCTTTGTATTAATGAAGCAAGCACAAAGTCGGCAAAATAACTGAATAACGAACAGAGAATTCTAAAGGCGACATCGCCGGAAACTTCAACTGGCAAACTCGAACATCACCTCACGTTATCGATGGTTTCGAGACTGATCTTGGACTAGTTTTGGAGCTGTTTTGCTGGGTGATTTTCATCTACAACTAGCAATATTTGTTAGGCTGACAATGATGATGTTCGGACGAATATGAGGGTTGCTTAGGGACTGACTTTTGGAGCAACTGTTACTGATTTTTTATGGTTAAAGCAGAGGATTTACAGCTGGTTTGACGAAGGTTTGGGGGCTTACATGGGGCTGTCTTTCGTGACTGTTTTAAGCTGAATTTATGGGGCTAAATCTCGTGGTTTTGGGGCTGGTTTAAAGATGATTTTTAGCTTGGTTTTCATGGCCATTTCGCTGACTTTTCAGCTGTAAATGGTGGTGTTTTGGAGGAAGAAAAAGGTGGAATTTATGAGTCTTTCGTGATGGAGAAGAAAGGAGGAAAAGTATGGTGGCCTCATTGGTTTTTTCCAGGGGTCACGGCTGCTATGGGGTTTTTCTGTGTGTTCTTCCCCTGGGATTTTGAGAAAAATGAATGAAGAAGCACAAGGGTGGGATGCGCCGTGGCTCTAGATTTCTAAGGCATGTAAAAAACTGAAAAAATCTAGGTCTAGATTTTAGGGGTTTTAACGAGGGGATTTGGGTCAAGAGAAATGGGCCGAAGGGAATTGGGTTATGAAAATTGGGTCGGAGTTTAAAATTAATTTGGACAATTCTGGGAATTAGCCCAAATTTAAAAGAAACAAGAAAAAAAATATTCTTACTATTTTCCTTTTATTTGTTTTCTTTTAATTAATTAAAACCCTAAATTAATCTATTTTTGTATAAATTAGAATTCTTTATTTATTTTTAACATTAAAACAACTAGTTGACTTTAAACTAAAGAAAAAATGTTAATTTTAAAGACTAAAATCTAAATATGCAAAAATGACTATTTTTTTGTGATTTGATTTTTTTTCATTTTAATAAAATTAATTATTACATGCAAATTGAACCTAAGATGGCATGAAATTAAAACATGACAATTTTTATGATTTTTTTCTATGATTTTAAAAAAAATTAAAAATGCATGAAATGCAATTAAATAAAGAAAAACTTCTAAAATCAATTAAAATTATTTTTGGCTTATTTTAGGAGTTACTTTCATGTAGGGCAGAAATTAGGTGCTCACATCTAGGGAAGCCAAATAATCATTAAAAGTCTAGAATTACACCTTGATTAGACTTCTAATTGACCCCTGAAAAGCCGTCCTTGCTGCATTAATGTCTAATTGCCTTTAAATACACACCACATCTCTAATCTTCTTCATTATTCTAAAAGCGTCAAAAATATTTCTCCAATTCTAATTGCTTCTCTTCTCCAGAAATTCCCAAATTCTCTCAAGAAACAATCAACCATGTCTAACCCACAAGATCATCCTGTCACTCCTCCACCACCATCACCCTCAAATTCATCCTCATCCACTCCTCCTAGTGAATCCCCAAAACCTAGGTTCCGAAGGCAGAAAATGTTGGCTAGAAAAATCGTAGCATCTGGAGCCTTGAGGAAAGATTTTTATGAGAGATAGAAAGCTAGCCAGATGAAAGAAAGCCCAGCTCAAGAGTCCGACTCCAAATCTGACTCGGAATCCTTTATATCTGCCAGTGAAGGTGAAGGGCATGGGTCTTTTGACACTGAGAAAATTGAAGAAACGCATGCTGAGGTAAGTTCTTCTATGGTTAAAAACTTAGAAAATAGGTTTGTTCTAGTAGGACCTGTTAGAGATGTAAAGTTGGCTGAATCGAGCAGGAGTGGAGGTAAAAAAAAAGGAAAAGAGAGAGAGGGAGCAAGTGGTGAAGAGGGGGGAAAAGGGAAAGGAGCAGTTCTTGCTATATGTGGGGGTGCAGAAGAGACTGGCAGAAAGTCAGGGGGAATTGGTTTTGGGGAAGCAGCTGAAGGGTTGGTTAATCTAAGCAAACAAAGAGATGAACCTGGTTCATCTCCTGAGGAAACTCTGGGTGATCTTCTAAAAAGGGTTGGGGCAAGTTATGACCCAAAGAAACGCAAAGGTACCTCATAAAAAGCCCCAAATGTACCCAAACCAACCAAGAAAAGAAAACTTTCATCCCCAAAATCTACTGCCCCTTCAGTGCCTAAGGTAAGAGCTACAAGAAGCATGGTAAGACAAAGTGAAGTTGACCTACAAAAAGCTCTGGAAGAAACCAAGAAAAAGAAAATGGAGAAGGGAAAGGGAAAGGTTGCATAATCCTCTGAGGTTGTAGAAGAAGAGGAGATGGAACTGGTCCATCAAGAAGGGGGAACAACAGTGGAGGTTCCCATACCAAAACCTAAAAAGTCCAAGACCTCTTCCAATAAGTCTTTTTCTGTACCTGTGTCTGCTGAACCCTCATTAGCCAAGAGGACAAGATCTACAGTAAAAGG